GTCGCCGTGGCGGTGGGGTTAGGGTCGTGCGATACCAGGAGCGGGGATGTGCCCGAACGCACCCCGTGAATGATGCAGGTGGTGGGCACGATGACTGCGTTTGCACATCGCTACCGTATTCTATTAATTAACTCTATAGCTGTAGGCCAAATTCTTCGCGAAATTTTTATATACCCGCCATGCTTATTTTCGTAATCGTATTATATAAAATACATATAAAGAGCTTTATTAGCGAAAGAGCTCCCACCAGTCGTCACGTTATTCTAAAACCACTGCGTAAATGAATGCAGTACATTACAAGTGATTTGGTGTATGATTTAGCTTTTGAAAATTGAAATATATCCACGTCGTTTAATTTATATTTTACTGATTATCAAACGGCAACGCAACGGTTGCAAACACGCGTATCGTCGTATTTGACGATGTCACGCGACATAATGCTTCGTCACTGAGTTCAAGGCGCGCGCACATTTGATAAGACAGAACTGCGTGGCGTTTATCATTTTTACCTTCTGAACCCCATTATGATATTTTGAAAAAACAAGGAGAAGACTATCGAGCCATGAATGATTACGACACGTCTTTATCTGCCTCGATTGCCGGACACGATATGCGTTTCAACGTTCGATCCGTTGCAACGATGATTTACATCGTTTCTATGTATGTACGCTGGATGAAATCTCATCTTGTCTAGTGGTGTATTTACGTAACTGGTGTACATGTATTCCGTGTCTGTAATATCTTATCGGCGCAGCGCGACCTAACGACCCTTTGTTTTCCTCGTAGTCAAAATTCAAAAAATTTTATCGCCTTGAAAACTAGCTCGTTGCTTACGAAATGGGGCGCTCTATCGATAATAAGTCTTACAGATAATACGCTCGAAGAAATCGGACGAATCCGATGTTGCATCATCGACTCGTTTCGTCTTTGAACTCGTGTGATGAAACGCGGATGGAAAACTTGTTTCTATATCGAGACCGAAAGTAGATAAATCTTTGTTTTTACTCGCACAAAAAAGTCATAAATTTAGTCACGCGCTTTTTCTCTTTACATAGAACAATCTTAGAAGAAGATAATTAATTGTCTAAATTAATCTCGAATAACCTCACGTGTCTTTCACAGAGGACTCGTACAGTTTTCTTAAAACTGGAGAACACAGAATGGTCACCGTTTCATGGAAACGCATTGAAAGCTTCCTGACCCACAAATCGTTCGTCTTTTAAATGCAAATGCATCTTTTCCCTTTTCTCCTCCCTAAGGATGATGGTCATGAATATATGGAAGGCAAGAACTGTTTGAATATTTAGCTGTGTCCATTGTGTGTTCTCGGATGGCCACTAAACGCATTAGTATGCCGCTTTCCTCACTACGGCACTAGAAAATTCTAAGTCCTTCGAAAGAAGAACAAAATAAATATATACATTGGCGTAACTAAAATTTATGTCCTCTTACAATTTCCAACCTTGAAATTTATCTCGAAATTTTGTATCCTCAAAAGATCACAGTTGAAAGCTCGAGGAGCTAACGAGCACCCTAAATCTAACTCACGGGTCCTCCTTTTTCGAAACGTGCATTGGCTCGTTTTCAACGAATAAAAAGGGACAGAAATTGGTCATCACGGCCAGTGACACGAGGCTCATGATCGGTATATTTCCTCGGCCACGTCATCGTCGAACTGTGGTCCATGGTAGGGCGAGAATTTGCGGAGTGTATTAGTAGGCCATGACGAAAATACCAGGCAGTCCGGATAGTAATAGCGAGCATCTAGACGGCATTGACCGCGCCCGAATCCGCACAGGTCGTTCCCCGTTCTCTTCTCGTGCTGCCTCGTTGAAGTCACATTTAGAGGAGGACTTTACAGGGCACGTTTTTAGACACGCGTTTAGAAGCGTATTACTACGAGCAGCACGCTGCCACGGATTCTTCTTGCAACGGCCGCGAAACCAGGGACCGTGAAATTATGCAAAAGCGATCGTGACCAACTCGATAATTTCCTCTTCTCAATTGAACACGCGAGTGCAATGTAGACTTCCTTCAGATGAGCCTCTCATCGGCTGTCTTCGATTTTACAGATTGTACGCTCTAAAAAATCAAGTCAAAATTAATCAATGCTCTAAAAAATCAAGTCAAAATTAATCAATGCTCTAAAAAATCAAGTCAAATATTAATTATATAAATTAAAATAAAAAGAAAGATTAAAATTCTTAATTTAATTATATAAATCATAGACTACACTGTGCGGTTACCATGAAGTTAATTAAGAAAATAATTCAATGTCTGTCAGCATAAGTGGGCGAATACTTGTGAGAGCCACTTTGTAAATCGACGTCCCGGCGTAACTTTCGTCGGAGGCTCGTCGCATTCCATTCAACTCGTTAAACTCTCGTTTGGCCTGCAAAAGCTTTTACTGTAAAACCGATACCGATGGAATATTTTCTAAGTAATGAATCATCCTGCAGACAAAATTCCCTCAAGGGTCAATTTACCTCTTAGAAATGGGCCTCCGCATTAATCCGATGTTAATTCCTCTATCCCCGTGTTTTCCAGCACGATTATACCGGAAGCCAGATAGTTCAGAGGCAAGGGAACACATACAGGCCACGCCTAGGTATAAAGCGAGTGAAATACATGCAACCGTAGGTAGAAAGGTCGCCGAGTCAGGGTATACTCTCTATATCTCGGTTCTACCTTTTCTTTTTTTCTCTACCATCGACCCAATACGCCGCTCCCATGTTTGTCAACGACGCCCCCATCGTGGTTCCTAAACCATCCATGTTGCTCTTTGCTTCAAGATGCCCTTTTTCTTCTTTGCGAGCATAATACATCGTTCCATTAATTAGAATGACCCTTCGTTAGCCTATCGCTGCAGTTATCTGTAAAGTCCGATATATTAATGTACCTAACTCTAGATTGGCATCAGTTACGCCAATGGCAAATTCATTCAAGTTTACGATGAGAGAATACCACAGTCAAATACCTGTACAAGTTGCTGCATAAAAATGTTTCAAAATTGTCTCTGGTTCTACATTCTTATCAAATGAGTGACACACTCCGGCGATAATCACTGGGCCGAGAATTTTGTTTCCCTGAAAAACGTTTAAAGAAATAGAATTTCCACGTGTCGGGTTCAACGCTTTCCCAGTTATTTCTCGTGGCAGTGGCGCAGCCACGTAAGATGCATTAAAAATATATACCACACCCCCTCTTTTCGACAGAAACCGAAATAGATTTTGCTATATTTATCCCTAAACGATCATGTAAAAAGTTCGCTACAAAATCGATAAAATGCTTGGTAATTAAAAATGTTAACTTTACATTTCGACGGAGGTATGATTTTACGCTTTTTATTTCTCGACCGGTAAAAACGGAAATGACTAAGAGGCTTCGACAGTGCGGTTATGAATTAGCGGAAAATCGTGGAACGAGCAAGGAAAAGCACGAAGAAACGTAACGAAATTGTAGCGAAGGACAAACAAGCCAGATAACCCGAGTACCTCGGTTAGCAACACGATCGTCCGACTATTACGAGAACGATAACGAGCACGTATGTGGCCGCTACGGTATCTGGGGTTATCGTTTTTTTTCCTTTTCGGAGCCAACGGGAGGGAGTGTTAACTGCGAAGGATCAGAGAGTGGACCACGGGTCATCGAAAGAACCGTCAGGCTTCACGTCCATTCGAATTTATTTAGTTCCATCTTTCGCTTGCTTCTACCAGCTGAAAGGGATAAAAAGTATCCACTGTAATTTTATACTCAAGAAAAAACCTATAGGTCTCTCAAAGATAAAGATAATCTTGAGAAATTCCATGAACACTCATATAAATTTTATGTTAAATAAAAATTGTTTTATGTTAAATAAAAATTTACTTTAAAAAAGTCCTTTCAAATTCCTAAATTCCTTAAAAATTTCTAACATTATCATCTGTCGGTATTATTAAGCAAAAATACCTAACAATATTCTCCTTACTTCAATGTGAATTTCCTAACCTATATAATGTTATAAGTGTTTATGGAATACAGTGAGAAATGGACTAGCCATGAATGCATTACATGCATATTCGAAACTATACGCAAATATCGTTGCAATTCACCACGTAGAGGATCTCCGTATCCGCTGACGTCACGTCGACCCGCCGACCTCGCCGAACTTTGCGCCGCATTAACATTGTCGATTTACAGGCGTTTATGTATGTTCGATTTCCGTTCGAGAAAATGTTTCTAATCAACTGGCGACATCGCTAAAGAAACGGCGGTTAGTAACCAGCATCATCGACGTCGAACATTTTCATGTTAATTACCGTGGCACAGCTGTACAACGATGATCCACAGGAATTCATTTATGGCGCGATCATTCTTGCAGGAGATATTTACATTAACAATCGGCGTTGACAACTGGTCTTAATTAATTTGTGATACGATCCGTCGTTGAAACTGTCTGCGTGAAAAACGACGAGGGATTAGTGTAATTTATCATGCAAGAGACAGAAGTATGTTTTTCAATTAATATTACGATGTTACCGATATATTTAAAACGATGATATATCGTCACATGTTTAGGTTTTCGTTCCCTCTAAATCTGTACTTCTCTAGAAGTTTTGCCATGCTTCTAGGTTTCCCTAGATTCTTCCCCTATTTTTTTATCTTCGAGAATGTTCTTTGATCCAAGTCGTACAACTAACCTAAATTTATTGCAAACAAAATATTTTATCCTTGAGAAATAACTAAGCCATAATGACATTCATGTATTAAAACCTGAAACGGCATTGCTAATTTCATGTATGAATATAAAAATGCAGTTGGAATATCTTATCATTGAATGCAACCGAGGAAAGAAATGAACGTGCGTCCCGGACAGAGTACAGCGAGTTCAGTATTCCTTTGACTTCGTATTTCGTAAAATAGACGTTCATTTACGAATCTAATTTGATTAGCCGATCAAATAATGCGTATAAAAAATAATATGAACAAAAATCTTAATGTTTAAAATAGGACAGTCACAATAAAGAAAATATTAATAATTAATTGCGCATTAATTATACTGAGAACCTGAATATATTTTATGTTTCTCTTGTTACCTTTTTTAAGCTGCAAAGAAGAATGAAACCTTTATGAAACTTCCTAATAACATCAATGAGTTATACGAATGTTGATGATTATTTCAAATGTAAATTTTAGAATACAACTCAGTTTGAAATTCATTGTGAACCGTTAATGGTTCTGGTGCTGCTCTCGCACGACTAACGAGTCAACTACAAATTCAAATTTAAGCAATGCTTTGTGGGTAAATACTCAGTCGGTAACTCAGTCAATTTGCGTTGTATATCCTCGAACATAATGGATGATGTATTTGTGCGTTATTTTATATTACATGTGAATTACATGGATTTACAAACAAAAAGTTGAACATTAACACGATTAATCTATAAAAATAAATACACTAAATGATAATTGATGTGAGTGAAATGAGTTCTGATTCTTTGCTGTTTTATACGTGATAAGCCTTTGTACGTCATTTATGACAGGTTATTCTGAACTTTGTGATTTGCGTTCATATTCTACGTATTCCATTTAAATAAAACTCTTTCAGTGTAATATGTTCTCTGAAGTTTGAACATGGTATTTCATCATCTGAGCTTCCTATATCCATATCAAAGGTTTGGGTTATAGCTCCATTAATATTGTTATTGTCATCGTAATACTTGTCATATTGTGCCACAAAGCTGTATTTTCTCAGTCTCTCTAACAACGATAGCTGTAATGCACTTAAAGCTGTTTTGTATGCTTTTTCTAATGGTTCCTTATATTCAATTCCACGAAATTTAGTCTATAATGAAAATGATTGTTATGTACATTAGACATAAGAAAATTTATTAAAATAAAGATAAGTACTTTTTTAATAAGTTGACTATATTTATTTGTTGCTAATGCTTTAAGATTTGCTTTGGGAATCCAATTGGATTCAAGTCTCTCTTCATTAAAAAATGTAACATAATATCTCACCTATAAATCAAACATATTTATCAAATATTAATACTTAAATTTATAAGTAATAGTATAAGAAACCAAGTAATTACAGGTTTAATCGATTTTTTATTTAATTCATAATATGTAAAAGTGTCAGGGCAATCATTAACCATAGCGGGCCACCAAGGAAAACCAGAAATACGTGCCCAAACAATGCTACCTGCATTGTAGATATTTTCAATCAAGTCATTTTTAATGGTATGTGGTATAGGTTGTTCTGGTATGGTACAAGATGCTATTGACTTATCTGTAAAAATCAAGTAATATTAAATGTACATAAAATTATAAATTTAAATATCTGAGAACTCCTATACCAGAATTCATATTGCAGAACCACTTTTTGGGTACATCTATTGGATCGTGGTAGTCATCAACATATCTCAATTTTTTACATGTTCTTCTACAACAGTGAATCCACAAACCAACATCTCTTCGAGGTTGTAACCAATATAGTACCTCTTTCCAGTTTAAATTAGAATCACAAAAAGATAATCTTTCTGTATTTGGACTAAATACTAAAGAACAAATAAACTCTCTCAGTAATACATTGAATAAAATATCCAATAAATTTTAAATTTGCATCAATTTTACTCGTTATAAATCTACCATCTTATAAAATAGCATATCATACAATTTTATTACAATTTTCCCTTAATGATAACATGTACTTCTACAAATAAATAAATAGCTAATATATACTGTTAGACACGAAAATGGGTTAGTTTTTCTTTTACAGTGATATTTTTTGTTTTTGACGTAACCGTGTACTTGTTATCGTCCGTTGTACACCTACCTACAGAAGATGTTTGCCCTACATTATTTTTGCTGTTGTTTGTATTCGTTGGTCTGTAATTTACAATGTTTTTATCGTTTTCTTTATCGTCTGTTCGCTCTTTAATTTTACCGAGCGTAGAACGTAATATACGCGTTTGTTTCTGTGAAGAATCAATTCTATTGCTTTTAGCGGTATGTTGGTTACAGAACCGTGAATTATTTGAATGGATAGAATCGAAGTATACACCGCTGTCCACGGCGCTACTGATTTCCGATTCTTCATCCGAGTACTGTAACTTTTTCGGCTTTAAATCTCCCTTTCTAGGAAGATTTTTTTGTTTTATTGGTGCTTTCGGCGTTGGTACAGGTTTCTTTTCCATCGGTGGAGTCGTATAGAATGACAAGATATTCGTATTGTCGCTAAGTTTTTTGAATAAGTTGAACTGCAAAAATTAGACGTAAACTTGAATTTTTCTTAACTCTCGAATGATTTAATAATTCCTAATAAAATTTCTACCTTCTCCAGCTCTGATTTTTTAAATAGCACCGTGGAAGTTGGCTGATCCAAATCAGACAGTTCAAACAGTAAATTTTTACGCTGCATATTTAGAGTATCTGCTTGATCAGTTACGAAGAAACGAAGAACACCTAATCACTCTTCCACTTGATCACGAAATTGAACACTGTATAAATGAAAACGTTTAACAACGTTTTCGGAAAGTGGAACAACGTAATTTATCAGAAAAAAAATCGCGTCCGCGGATGACTAAAGTTGTGACTGAATGAGAAACCCGCCGACTTCGTAATGGGGTTCACACGACGTCTTCCACGGTATTTGTTATAACAAATGACAAGTGTATAATGTGGGTTCTTTAAAAACATATTTGAAATTATACTCACTGAAGCAATATTAAATAATACAAATTTTTCTTTTGTACTTAAATCAACTGCATAATCAGAATAATTCAAATTGAATGTAATCGTCAATTTCATTTTCATAAAATTTTAGAATTGCCGCCAAAACTGTGATTGGTCAATTGCAGTTTCGTCGCGCGCAGTTTTAATTTGATTTGTCATACGCGTCGTTCGTTTTATTCAGAAATAGTAAAAATTTAATTTTAATTAAAATAAAAAGTCATATGATCATTTTGTAGTTACTAATGTATGTATTTATAAATGATGGTCAATAAAGTTGCATAATATCGATCTTTGTTGTATTTATTTATTGACATATTTCCTAATATTAATAAACAATAATTATGATTGTCATAAATTTTCTCGTACAAATAAAAAAATAATGTGTACAAATTTTTAACATTGCGTACTTAAATTGTATGGAATTTATGAACCTTAATTTCGTTAGATATCGTTTTTTTTTATATACGATACATTCCTAGGGTAATACGTTTTAATTCGTTTCTGTTAGTATTTGACATATGTATACGAATGACACATATTAGAATGTGCACAAATGACAGCATAAATTTGAATACATATACAACGTTTGATAAACGTTATGGTACTTCATATTGCTTTCAAGTGATTTAAATAATCTAATTATGAAAAATTTGCAATTTTTAAGCGATTTCATGTCTTTAAAGTATCCGAAAAATTGTTTTTACTCGATCAAATTATGTTTCACTTCCGAAAATTCCCGAAGCTCTATTCGGCTCACTCGGGTACCCACATAGAAAATGGAGTTTAAGCAAAGCAACCAAAGCAGCTATTCGCCATCGTTGATGGGCGCACAACGACGGTTTGGAGCTGGGTGTAGCACGTATTTCGTGAAAAATCTGTATTTTTGTGCTTAATGCGAGTAAAAATTACGTCGAGGTAAAACCGAAATCGTACGGAAAACGTTTGAAGGTAAGTTTGTGTACATAGTATGGCATTTAAGAGAAGAAATGCAGAACGAAAACCCGGAGTATTGGCGACCATCCGTTTACAGAACGCATAAACCATAATCTGCGCATGCGCGATCGCGGGAACGATAAATTTACTCAGAGAATCAAACATTTGCGATTGTGAATGTTTCGCGGGATAGGTGGTTGATTTAGTTGCAAAATGATATTACTTTTTAAATTATCAATATAATATGGAAAAACATTTATATATTTAATTCTCACCTCTTCATAGCATATAATAAAATAAAATAGACTGATTTATTACCTGTTGTTTTGAATATTGATAATATTTAAATGGTGCTAATTCAAAATTTCATTTCTGTTCTGTAAAATTTACAAATATTGCGTTAAATAAATAAAAACCTAGAGTTGTGTGATATTTCATGATTTAGGTCATTTTTTAACATGTAAACAAATTATATTGTTAATCATGTTTTTTCTGTATTTTTAGATTTTTACAAAATGTCATCTGCACAAGTTGATCGTTCCACTAAAGTGGGTCACATTACCAAGAAAGAAAGCGAGAAGTCAAGAAAGACTTTTAATCAGTCTCATAAGAAACACAAGCACGAGGACAGTCGTCATTTTAAATTTGGAAGAAAGCGTTTGCAAAGTTTTACTAGCAATGGTAAATTTTTTCCACCATATAAACGTAGAAAGAAGGAAGGTGTGATCATTCCACCGACAAAATTTTTACTCGGTGGTAATATATGTGATCCGTTGAACCTAAACAGTATGCAAGATGAAGAGATAAATAGAGCTATGAATGCAGTTACACCTAAGTCTAGCCCTTTACCAACGCCTAAGCATAAGAAAGAGGTTATCGAAGTCATAATACCACCCAATATCTGTGATCCTCTGAATCTAAATAATTGTAATGATAATGATAATGATGAATATGAAAAACAACTTATATCTCCAACTAAAAAAGGTTCTAAACGCCGAAATAGAAAGAAAAAAAGGGCATCTTCAGGGTCCGGCAAGGATGATGCAAGTGAATCAATTGAAACTATATCTAAAGAATGTGATACTATTGATATTACAGAACCCATGGAACAAAGTGTGTCTGAAAGTATTGAGACAGAACAACAACAGGCACCATTAAATTCACCTCCACCTAATCAGTCTAAAGAACCTAAGCCAGAAAGTCCACAAAAAGATAAAAATAAATTACGTTTAAAGGGGTTAGAAGAACCTAAGGACAAAAGATTAAGGAAAGTGGACACTAAAGATAAGATTGTTAGTCCTGTTATACCTCAACCTGGAGCCTGGAAGTCCAGACCTCAACATCGGCCAAGTCAAGATAAAAAGAAGAAGCAACCAATGCCAAACTTCAGAGAGAAGGATGCACATTATCAATATGGCAATTATAATAGGTATTATGGCTATCGTAACTCCTATCATGAAGTGGACACAAGACTGACAGTGTTTGCACAGCGCAAGCATTTATTCTTTGGGAAGGATGTTCTTGATATTGGTTGCAACATTGGCCACATTACCCTTTCTGTTGCCAGAGATTTTTCAGCCAAAAGTGTAACTGGTATTGATATTGATCGAACACTCATCAATATTGCTAGAAAAAATATCAAACACTATGTTAATTGTGTACAGTCTCCAGCCAGGAACGAAAACAATGATCACCAGGATGTAAATTTCTTCCCAATATCTATGCCGATCAATTATGGTCCAGTTGATATTCCAGGTTTCACAAAGAATAACAGTCACAAAGGTTTCCCTTACAATGTTACATTTGTACAGGTATTCTATCAGATCAAAATGCTATATAGTCTAATTATTTTAAGTTTAAGAAATCTAAATTTATTTATTTTCAGGGGAATTACGTGCTAGAGGATGATACTCTATTATGCACAGAGCAGCCACAGTTTGACACAATCCTCTGTTTATCTTTAACCAAATGGATACATTTAAATTTTGGAGATGCCGGTTTGAAGCAAGCCTTCAAACGTATGTACGCACAGTTACGGCCGGGTGGAGTGCTAGTATTGGAACCACAAGGATGGAGTAGTTATACAAAGAAAAAGAATCTTACAGTAAGTATTACAAAATTTATAAAGTGTCCTTTTAATCCCGACAATTTCAGGAACATTAACAATCAATTTCGTGTTTCAGGAACGGATATACAAGAATTATCGGAGTATCGAATTTCGGCCTCACAATTTCACACAGTATTTATTATCATCCGAAGTCGGATTCTCCAAATGCGAGGTGCTATCAATTCCCCCACATCCATCAAAAGGATTTCAGCGACCAATTCAGCTGTTCACCAAAGCTGGTCCGTTCCAAGAATCTTCGAGCAATTCCAACACGTCGAAGCGGCAAGATCGGATAGACGAAAAGACAAGGGAAATTGAACGAAAAGCATATGAGAAGAAGTTGTTCAAAAAGGACGAAGTTAAAGAAGGAAACTTGTCAGAGATCAGTCAACAGAGTAACGAGTCTATGAGTCAATACGAACAACTGGAAAACGTATATGCGCCTAGTACAACTCCCTGTTACGATACGCCTGGTCACAACAGTGACAATCAGCCATCTGACGCTTCGAAGATGTGTTACGTGGACGTCAATATGGAGAACGATAAAACAGAAGCAGAAAGTCAAGCGGAACCAAACGCAACGACGAATACACAGTCGGTACATCAAAACAGCGACTCGACTGAAAATCACGTGTCGAGGAAACGGAACATTGACGCGGTAGCCGGTAATGCGTGCACGGTAGTCGCGAAAAGGTCTAAAATTCTGGATGAAGCACCAGTAAACGAAAGGACAAAGGAAACTCAGAAAGAAGAAACATCGCAGAGGTCAGTTTCTGTAAATAACAGTGAAGATTCAAGGACTGAAGAACACGGAGAGAGTGGAAGTAGGAGTCCGTGCAAAGAAGAACAAATAGAGAGGCAACATTGCGAGTTAACCCCAGACAACACGTAAACTACATTGTTTACGTAGAACACGAGTGGTGCTACCAATTCAAACTCGGGCTGCTTGGTTATCCATTTTCTTGTCCGACTTTTCTTTTGTTATTTGTTTTTCCACTTTTCTTTTTTTCATCTTAAGAAATTGGTTGTCTATTCCGAACAGAGTTTAGAAATCTCAGCAGCAATGTAGTATCGACACAGATAAATGAGAACAATAGAACGAGCAAGAACGTTCAGACTATCGTTAGCACGTAGTTCCATTGCTCGATTTCCGTTCACGTTTTCTGTCATTTAGGTTTTGCTTTTTTGTAAACAGATTCGACTTTATAGAATACCTGGTGAGAGTTTCAGTGTAATGTAATTCGAATTGGAGCGTCTGAAATTCGACTGGCAAGTTACACTCCAAGAGACTCACGAAGAACGATACAACAAAAACACTGTACATGATAGGAATTGTATCGCTTTACGTATAATAGTATGTACGAATGTATAATGTGTATATGCGAACTGTGCCTGAACGTGTTGACAGAGAAAGAAAGGGAGAAGCAAGGCAACGTGGATGATCGAAACAAATTCTAAGCACGTGCCTAAAATGCATTTTGCATTCTGCTGTATCTGAGCACGTTTTCAAACATTCTAGTGGGTTAGTCGACCAAAGTCTGACTTTTTGGCTTTACCATGTCTTTCGACGGGAACGATGTAAAAAAGAAAAGGCAGAAGAGAAGGCAAAGGACATTTGCGAGTGTGATAAGGACACGACTTCAGGTTGCGTTTCGAGACGCATAACTGTTCAGTGCTTCAGTGTTTTTCCTTTGTACAAAAATAACAGCACCAGCAGTTTCTCGTTGAAACTCATCCTGGAACGAGAGCGTGAGAAGGGAGAACGTTTATTATTACATTAATTGTATTAACGATCGGTAGGAACATTGTCTGCCTTTTTAATATTTTAGAATCGTAGACAGTGTTCCTTCAATTCAAAAGTTTTAACCTATTGATTGGCATGGTCTGAAAATTCTGAATTACCGATTGGTAAATAGAAATGTCTTAAAGTAACTATAGTGACTTTAATGTTTACTATAGTGATTTTAATGTTTTAATTTTCATACCTGATATAACCTAACTATTGTACTTCAACTATGCCGGTCAATTAACAGTGTTTAAAACCGATCAATTATTTTTTATTTACCATTTTTGTTTACATTCGTTTGTTTGTTGGTTTGTTCATTTATTTTTGGTTGCAGGAGAGAGAGTGTGCGAGAGAGAATGAACGAACTAGTATTGTATAGAAAAACAAAAGAAAAAGCGTAAGAGTGGAGACGAGTGGATCAGCATCTGAAAAGAGCGGGAAAGTGGAGACGATTGGGAAACCTTAGAGACTGTAGGACTTGTAAATTTCTGTAATTTTAGAGGAGTATTGTTTCATATAGTTGTTATTTATTTATATAATGCCGAGATCTTCGAATTTGTTGATAGTACCCGGACCGATCGGAGTTGACGAAAGTATTATTATCGTTGAGCGTCACTCGTTACACGTAAGTCGACACACACAAACACACGCGTACCGAGGATTATTCAATGTACAAAAAGGAAAGAAAAAGTTCCTCAACGAGATAGAAGAAAGCGAGAAAAAAGTGACGAAAGCTTCCAAGGTGTATTGAACAGGCGGCTTTCCTTCTAATTCAAATCTAGTCCGTATGATCGTCGAGGAAGAATGGAATAATGCTTACGCAAAAAGTCATTTCTTACTCGAGCGAAAAAAAGAAGAAACCGTTGTTCTTGATCCGGTGAATTTCGCTCTGAGACATTTCTGCTCGATTATTCGTATCACTGACAATTACGAAATAATTGATAAGTTATTAGGAAGTAAAGATCAGGAAAAGAATCGATAAAAACTTGTCCTTGTGTTAATTGGTTTTTTTTTCGGTGCAACCGTGACCAACTTAACGGTGTATTTAACGATAATATTTCTTGTAATCAAAGTACAAATGTTCGTTTGAATCTCTGTATGAACATTTCGAGCAGGAATGTATCCTCGGACATTTCTGTCTTCTAGAATATGGAAATGTCGGAGAGAACGCGACGATGAAGCACAAAACAAAATCCGGGCGCAATCACTTTTCCATGTTGTGTGAGATGATGAGAAACAAAATGAACCACTTAGACGCTTACCAGGAACACTCATACTGTAAGACATCAAATTAATAATAAAGAATCGCTTTGAGCCACCAAACGTGTTTCCTCTGTTCTGACCTGTGGAGAGAAGAAACAGAAGACTTTTAAGCCAAGTCTTGAGATTGCAAGCTATGAGTTATGAGGAATAAATTATATTTAACACGTTGCTCCACAGATAGTCTGGGGAGTAGTGAACCTACATCCTTTGTTTCACAGCATGTACGTTCTTTAGGTTAACATCTATGTTGAGTTATTGGACACTTAGGCTATAATGATACAATGTGTTATCTAATGTGCAGAATTTATTATATTAAGATAGCTTCTCTACACTGTTACGATTTTCCATGCTAAACATTCGTGGGATCGTTTGAATCCTTTCTCATTTTTGTTTCAGGGCGCATCGAACACCAAAATTTACTTCTGGCTGCGATTATGACGTCCATTCTCTTAAATACTCCAAAGAATTAATTACAGATGACTTCTCTTTAAATAACGCTGTATAAATTAACGTGGACAAGTTAGGAATAATTTTAGGGAGTCTGAGGTTTGAAGGAAAGAAGAGTTACTATAATTTTGGTTGGACCATTAAAACGCAGCCCATAAATTTTGAATTCGATGCCATGGCAGTGACGATCCCGTGTGTAGCTAAACGTTAGAGAACCTCGTGTTATGCATCTACTTGCTACGTATATACGTATATATTTATAATATCGTTTAAACATTCTGTATAATCTCTATTTCTCTTCTAGAAATAATCATCGTGAAACACAGAAGGATCGACGGATGCGCGTTGACCCGCAACAGCGTTATATTATCTTTAAAATCTTCGAAACAATGAAGAAAAGAACAAGTCGTTCCCGTACAAGAGTGCTACATGGAAACGTCGTCCTCTTGGATTTCATTTAAACCTATATGTTACTTATGATCTACAAAGGGGCGCCAGCGCCCCATCGCACGCTCCTGAACGTGCGCACATTGTTTGTTTAATTATTTCTACGGATACACATGTAACGTGTGCCTACGTGTATCGTTTTCATTACACTTTTAATATGTACTGTATCGTTATAGCATGATAACGTTATCGCCACCGGTTATCGCGTACAGTCGCGTGCAAAGATAACCGCTCTTAGAGGTGAGATTTTCTGTGAGGGGCGGATGTGAGATCTTACATTCCAGGGTTTTGCTTCCTCTGAAGCTACAATTACAACTGGATGCATCTTCCATTATAGGTTTGAAGGTTTGAAAGCAAAAGGAGCCTCTAAATTCTGGGTAAACCTAGTAGGGAAACTTTAGAATAGTCCAGAGAGACCCAGACAGAACCTGAAGAGACTACAAATTTAGAATCTCCTACAATGTAAAAAACAAGCTTCTTAAGAAAGGTCAACTTGCATGCGACTGTACGATGGCAAAACAATTGATAGAAGGGAAGATAGATCCTTGTTCTGTATTTCTGATAACTTTCGCGACACAATCAGCTCGATAACGGATCATATCTTGCCTTCGTTGAATCACTGATCGCCCTGATTATGAAACTGTTGTTGCATATGAAATGGCCCACTTCAGAACCTTCAGCATCTTCGTTAAAAATAATGTTCATTAATCAAAACGTGCTCGGAAAACTGCATTTGATATGCGACAACCTTCAGGGAGTGATACCGATCGTACGAAACTGTATTTAAAACGTTAAAAATGTATATTCGTCCTTGAATTCACTGACACAAGGGTACAAGTGCGCCGGGCGCTGAGTTATCAGTGACGAGCAATTATGGTTTCCAATAACAGGAATGAAATCCACTCCATACTTTCTCGTCGGACAAAAAGTAACCGAATCAAGTCGACCGTAAAAATCGTTACAATATTCCACTCCTTTCGAACAAATACCGAAACGTATCCAGTATAAAATGGTAAACGTTCGATACGTTTACTCGTTATTAAAAAAAGTCCCATGACAAAGTAATCGAGATCAAATGGACCTCTGGTAAAATGCAAAAATATTAAGAAAATCTATGGCGAATTTCCCGGAGTCTACTCGTCTACGAGTTCCCATAGCATCAGCGCAGCGTCGGTCCCACCGACAGTGACGACGTTCTGATCGTTGTAAAGAAACCTGGCACAGGCTACCAGGCTACTGTACACTTTCTCTTCCACGTACTCCGCTTTTGCACTGGTGCACGGGTATCTGAACAGTCTCAGGTAGCCTTCTGCGTCGCCGCTGACTAACATGTCGTGAGCAGCCGACCTGCTCGACGTAGTCAGCACCGTTGTCAATGGATAATAACGATTATTCCACATTCCTGCAACCATCGCCAATTACAAACTTGCAATTATATTCTTTGTAACCATATTCATGTCATACTTACCGGACACCATGTAGCCGACCATGCAATTATGGGTGTACCACTTGACGTCCTTCATGACCAGCGGACTTTTCTCTGACGACAACGCCTTCACGTCCCCTGCAAATTATTTACCACGTTATTTATAATAATGTAGTTTGTAAGTTCATCAGAGGAAGATAGGTTCATGAATCATGTAAAGATAGGCATCATCTGAAGCAATGAAATTACAGAACACTAGGTCGTAGTCCTGCGTGACCGTCTGAAGGAATCTGCTGTCAGAACTCCAGTCGAGCTGCACCAGCGGCTGCGTCCCACGTATCTTGTTGCTCTTCTTGTAGGAGAATCCGTCTCTAGATACTCTGAAGAGATAGACGCTGCCGTTCTGAGAACCCATCGCCACGATTTCTCCGGCTGAAAGAAACAGATGATGTTAAGTCTTTTCCATAGAAGTAGGTCTACACCGGGAAGGCTAAGATTGTATCTCACTTGGATTGTAGCCAATGCACGATAAGGGTGATCCACAAACTCTGAGGGTAGCTACAGCCGCACCGGTGTCCGCTGCCAAAACTAGAAGATGACCCTCGGAGGAGCCGGCGGCGAGCGCCACTCCGAAGGGATGGAAAGCAATGCAGATACATTCAAAACCGACCTGAAATAATATTCCATTAATAGTACACATGTTTAAGTTTTTATGATTATGATTTATTAAATCATTACCTGCGTTGTCCATAACAATTTGTGTCTCCGCCACAGAGCAATGTTCTTGTCGTGACCCGCCGTGGCGAACACCTCGTCGTCAGGATGCACCGCCAGTCCCCACAGCTGTCTGCCATGGCCGAAGACTACTTGGTTGAACCTTCTTTGAAGAGAACCCTCCAATATGTTGTTCCTCGTGGTTCCTACGTATATGTTTCCATCGTTCCTTCCGGGCCGCTGAGGGTAAATGCTGCGGACTCCTCCTACTGCTTCTGGCAACTGCGAAATAGTTACAGGGCTTGACATTTAAGAAAGAGAATAGATAAGAGAAATATTTGATCGATATTTATTACACGGCGAACCTTGATATTTTGATTACATGTTGAAGTAACCATTAAGGGAAACTGCAAGGTTCATTGGTCAAAAATAGAATAGAACTTTTGGGAGAGAGAGAAAGAAGAGTTTAGGTGAAGGGAACAGTTTCTGGAAGAAAGGATCTGGTCTCTGTACTCTAAGAGTTAGCTAAGTTCTAAGAGTCAGCTAAGTTCTAACAATAAGAGTGACTAAGTTCCTCTCAGCTAAGTGAACCTAGCAGAATGTACCTTTGTGTCAGTAATCCGCTTGTAATTCTGAAGCGAATCCCAAGCGGCGATCTTGCGATCTTTTTCTCCTCCGGAGAGCAACGTGCCCTCGGATAGCATCACCAGTGAGCTGATGCCTTTATTATGCGCCTCGAATTCCATGCGAACGAAGTATGCTCCGTCAGCGTCCACAGAATAGACGGTGATGAAACCGTCGCTGTCTGCCGTCACGACGTCCCCGTCTTGCTCGAACTGGATGCTCGTCACGTGAGTCCGAGAAGGCTGAAATAGGAGAGGCAAGTTAACAAAGTCCATGTAAGGTTGTTCCAATTACTTACGGGTTTGATGATGTCCGTCCTCTCAAAGAAACCGTCTTTCCGTCTATTCCAGAAGGTGAGGTGCCCTCGACCGTGCGTTATTAGCAGGTTGTCGTCCAGGGGGTGGAAGGCGGCTCCTGTGAGGTCCTCTTGCATCGTCTGTGGAGTGAAATTATTTATTATACTGTATAAATTAAATTTAATGTTACAAGTTATTAACTTATTTTGTTAAAACAGAACTTTGCATATTATTCTAGTATAAGCAAGAAAGGAACGTACCGCCACTTTACCCAGCAAATGGCCCCATTGCCATTGCCATACCGAGAGTATCGCTTCTCTACCAGCATCGACCGCCAGCACGTAACTGCCACCGTTCTGTGCACAAGAACATAGGTGTGGAGCCACCGCAAAAAGTACTCGTTATTCAATTCTTTTTTAGACACTTTACCAGCTGCGAAAACGCCAAGGCGGAGACTCCCATCTGGAACTCAGTCATTCCGAACACATACAGAGTGAGCAAGGTTTCTGTTGACCATATGCGAACGTGTGGTTGCGCTTTTCTGTGTCTACCAGCTTTTTGCCCGGATGCCACGAGCTCTCTGCTTGGGTGAACCTGCGGGCAAACATATTGCAACACTTGATTTCATTCCGATGACCATCTTTGATGCGTTTGTTGGGTGGGACTGGAAGTAGTCTGATGAATTATAATCTCTTATGTGGAGCAAGTGTAAGGCTACTATGAAATGATAATACATAGATGATACAAAGATTGATATTGTTTAGGTGCCATATTAATTGTTTTATTATTATAGGTATTGTTTGAAACAAGACTTAAGTATGTTTACTGATAGAAGAGTATTGATAAAGAATATTGATGAAGAATATACATGAAGAATATTGATGAAGAGTTTTGATGAAGAATATTGATGAGGAGCATTGATGAAGAATATTAATGAAGAGTATGGATAAAGAGTATTAATGAAGAATTGTATTGTTATATTGCTATAGATATTGTCTGAAATAAGACTTAAGTAGGTTTACTGATAGAGGAGTATTGATGAAGAATATTCATAAAGAATATTGATGAAGAGTTTTGATGAAGAATATTGATGAGAAGCATAGATGAAGAGTATTAATGAAGAGTATGGATAAAGAGTACTCATGAAGAATTGTATTGTTCTATTACTACAGATATTGTCTGAAATAAGACTTAAATAGGTTTACTGATAGAAGAGTACTAATGAGGAATATTCATGAAGACTATCAATGAAGAGTTTTGATGAAGAATATAGATGAGGAGCATTGATGAAGAGTATGGATAAAGAGTACTCATAAAGAATTGTATTGTTCTATTGCTACAGATATTGTCTGAAATAAGACTTAAGTAAGTTTACTGATAGAAGAATATTGATAAAGAATATACATGAAGAATATTGATGAAGAGTTTTGATGAAGAATATTGATGAGAAGCATTGATGAAGAGTATTAATGAAGAGTATGGATAAAGAGTACTCATGAAGAATTGTATTGTTCTATTACTACAGATATTGTCTGAAATAAGACTTAAGTAGGCTTACTGATAGAAGAATATTGATGAAGAATATTCATGAAGAATATTGATGAAGAGTTTTGATGAAGAATATAGATGAGGAGCATTGATGAAGAGTATTAATGAAGAGTATGGATAAAGAATACTCATGAAGAATATTCATGAAGAGTTTTGATGAAAAGTATTGATGAGGAGCATTGATGGAGAGTATTAATAAAGAGTATGGATGAAGAGTACTGATGAAGAATTGTATTGTTCTAGAACTACAGATATTGCTTGAAATAAGACTTAAGTAGATTTACTGATAGAAGAGTACTGATAGAAGAGTATTGATGAAGAGTCCTAATGAAGAATATTGATGAAGAGTCCTAATGAAAAATATTAATGACGAGTCCTAATAAAGAATATTGATGAATCATATATGAAGCTAAGAAAACTATTATTAATTAAGTACTTCAGTTACTGTGTGAAACTATCCCACAACTATCAAGTAGAATCTACCTCCATGCACGTAATATCCTCCGTATGCCCCACATAATGCCGTTGTGCATTTTCCTCTCTATCGAAGAGAACAGCCACGGCCGCCACATAATACAAGAGTTCTCCACTAGGCAAGACCCAAAGATTTCTTCGGGTATCGGTGCCCCGATATCCGTAAACCCATTCCAGCTGCAGCTTCTTATCCGGCGGCGAATTGTCGACCGGTGGTAAATGGGAAGGTGGGTAAAAGGATCTTCTCAATCCTCTGATCGTCACTCTGGCAGGTTCGTCTCTCAACACTTCCACTACGCTGTAATCTAGAGCACAGTATCGTTTCAGATTTTCTGTGCAAGACATGAACAATAACAAACGAATAAAACTGTATGGAGAACCGTTTACTCGGACGACGTCAGAATCAGGGGCGTACAGGGCGCGAGGTCTGCTTTTGCTGCGGGCTCGCCGTTGTCGACCGATGTCTTCGACCACGGTGGGTGGTCCCCTCGACCTGGATCTCCTTGCTGGAGACGCCGTGACCGCTGCCATACCTATTGCAGATCCCGTTCCTAGGTAAAATGTGTCCACGTCCGCGAATTCGTTCCTCAGCTGCGAGAAGCTTCTCACCTGTTCACAGTATTTACATATGTAATGTTTAATGCACATTTCATGGTTGATATATCAGATGGTTAATGGTTTCTCTATTTGTCGTAGCAATCTATTGAAATTATATGCAATCTAATGAAATCAGGAGGAATATCAGGAAGAAATATAACAGGGGGAACTGCAAGCGTTAAAATGAATGAACCAAGACATTTTCTTTCGTGTCAGGATCGTATCTGGAGCGTCACCGCGATTGACGTAGGCGGTACCAGGTGTACGATGATGTATAAGTCAGTCGAATGCTCGGTAAAGAAAATTGGTCAATTTGAAATTCATATACGGTCGTGACCTGAAAAGATGGATCTCTGACCTTTCTCCGTTTGATTTTACACAGTTGCGAATTTAAATAAATAAGAAAAGGGAAGAATTCGAAGTACCCGGAATTATATTAGAATTTTGATTTCAGAAAGGAACAAAAGAGTTCAGCAACGACCCTATTCCATTTAGAGCGAAGTCGACCCCGATACCGTCACGCTTCGACGCTTCTACCCCCTCCATCGCATGCATATTTATGGACAAACATTATTCAAGCAGATTTTATAAGTACGATGCTGAACCAATGTCTTCGATTTGCATAAATCGCTGATAAACTTTCGTAGTCGCCCACGTTTCACGAACGTGTAAATCGATCACCGAACACGTCATCTTTTTGGAACAATTCTTTACCTCTTGCCCGGAAACCGTGAACATCCTTTTGGCCCCATTCATCTTCAACACTTGTCCAAGATCCTCTAACACCTCTTCAAACGGCTGCGACGTGCGGAGGTTCAACAACACTCTGCACTGAAAATTTTATTTAAATGTATCAAACTTCTCTTACCGAATATTGATCCTCCACGTTTTCAGATTACCTGCACGGTGTGATCGTGGTTGTTAACGATTCGTATGACACGTCCCGAGGAAGGCTTTCCACCACCAGGAGGTGGTGCTTCGTCGGTGATGGAAGCTTTCCTGCTGAGACTCGCCACCGCTGGTGGTCTACTTTGCCAACCTCCAACACCACCTCCGACGCTCGCTCCACCTCTACTACCTGCGCCAGTGGGACTCGTGTACCAGGTGTTATTCTTCTTTCCATAGCTGGCCGGCTAGTGACAATTTCACACCAATTTAACAAACTATACACAAGTATAAGTGATGGAATAAATTACAGACTCTTTTACAATTATGACAACTGGAAAGTTAAACACAATAGTAAATAGAGGCTCCATAAAAGTATACACAAGAATAATTGATGGAACAAATTGCAAACTCCTGTACAATTATGACTTATAATTGTAGCTATAACTAGAAAGTCAAGCACAATAGAGGCTACACAAGAAGTATACACAAGTATAATTGAAGGAACAAATTGCAAACTCCTGTACAATTAAGATTTATAACTGTAACTATAACTGGAAGGCAAACACAATAGAGGCTACATAAGAAGTATACACAAGTATAATTGAAGGAACAAATTGCAAACTCCTGTACAATTAAGATTTATAATTGTAACTATAACTGGAAAGTCAAACACAATAGAGGCTACACAAGAAGTATACACAAGTATAACTGAAGGAACAAATTGCAAACTCCTGTACAATTAAGATTTATAATTGTAACTATAACTGGAAAGTCAAACACAATAGAGGCTACACAAGAAGTATACACAAGTATAACTGAAGGAACAAATTGCAAACTCCTGTACAATTATGCCTCATAATTGTAGCTATAACTAGAAAGTCAAGCACAATAGAGGCTGCACAAGAAGTATACACAAGTATAACTGAAGGAACAAATTGCAAACTCCTGTACAATTATGCCTCATAATTGTAGCTATAACTAGAAAGTCAAGCACAATAGAGGCTGCACAAGAAGTATACACAAGTATAACTGAAGGAACAAATTGCAAACTCCTGTACAATTATGCTTCATAATTATAGCTATAACTAGAAAGTCAAGCACAATGGTTCCACAAATTAAAGATAGGCTTCCTAGGTTCATAGAACAGATCTACATAAATGACACACATTTTCCAATTCAGTGATTTTACTAATTTCAAACTGATACACTTAAAGATATTTTGTACAATGTCGTATTTGTTCCGTCAATTGTATACTGTTTGTACTGAGCTGTGATGAAAGATGGAAGACCTGTAGCATATCGGCCGGCAGCGAAATAACTTCAAAGGAATCGCTCATCAACACGACAAAACTGTCGCAGCACTCCCAGGATGTGGGGCTGCAGGACTCTAAGTCGGAATCGCTGTAAGAGTCCGCCTTCTCGCCGGCGACAAAGTCCGGCTCCAGGTCCGAACGGGACGAGCAACTTGCCGACTCAATGGTGAACCTAGATCACTGTAATCCCCCTCAACGAGATTCACGGTCCGTGTATCATCGAACGAACTCTTAGGAGTATATTCACATGTTTTCACTTAGGTCACTGTTCACGTTTTAAATTGTATGAAATATTTCTCGCACCGGTATTAGGAAGACTTGTTTATTAAAAACCGACCTTGAGTCGTGTAATCGCACGATCACGAAGAAACTAAACGTGGTACCGAGAAGGCTGTGCCACTAGGTGCAACCCCGACTGTGTTCGATGGACAACTGGAGGCGGGGTGTGTGCTACCCCCATTGGGCTGGAGAACCAGCCCTCTGGCTGCAACATCCCCTACCCCTCTTCGCTTGCCAGGATAGCCATCGTGTCTCAAGGACAACACCCCTTCGACGGGTGGCTCAATAAGCTATGACATGTAATTGTACGAAATTCGACTTGGACGTCATACGAGTGAACCTTGATACTCTCAGAAATCCCTTTCATGGACCAAGACCAGGGTGGAGCAATTTCTAACGTGGTAATTTTTCGCTTTAGTCTGCAAGGCATCTTTGAAAACAGTCAGCATTCTGTTACCATCATCACACGTTCCTTACAATGATTTATCATTTGCAGATGACCTACTAATCTGATGTATATGAACCTCAAATGTACTACATATCAGTATGCTGATCAAAGGGGAATGATAGGCAGATCTTTGAGATCCTGGACCAAGACAACATGGTAATTTTTCCCTCTAGTCTGCAAGACACTCTCCTTGCAAATAGTCAACATTCAATAATTCTGTTACCATCATCACACGTTCCTTACAATGATCTATCATTTGCAGATGATCTAATCTGACGTATACCTAATCTATGTATACTACATATCAGTGTACTGATCAAAGAAGAATGATAGGCAGATCGGAAGCATGGTGTGATAGACACCCGGTAACGAGGGTTCTGATAGGAAACGATCCTGAAAGCATTCCTTGGAATTAAGGACGTACACGCCCATGTCGAATACAAAAGGTTCACGGAAAGTGGCATCTGACCAATTACCTTGATTGGCTAAATAGGGTCAATATTCAAAGTATGCTGGAAGAGGGGAAAAAAACGTTAACGAGGCTAATAGTCTAATAAACCGACTGATGAATTCGAGACACGCACGCTGCTGTCGGCAGTGTGCCAGAGATTCGATAAGCTTGTCATGGTTGCTTATAAAAATCCTTTCAAATTTCTCACTGATGTGTCCGCTATTAACATAATACTGTTGCCAATACATTGCATTCAGTTTTGAGGTGTAGTAAGTTCTAACAAGGTTTTTATAGTTACACTGATTATGTTTACTTGAGGTTTGTTGTGTGTGCACTCATCTTCATATGAGACAATGTTCATGTTTAAGACTATGCTTTTATACTATGTTTATATACATAAGACTATACTATGTTTATAAGACTATGTTTTTATACTATGCTTATATACATAAGACTATACTATGTTTATAAGACTATGTTTTTATACTATGCTTATATACATAAGACTATACTATATTTATAAGACTGTGTTTATATACTATGTTCATATACATAGTCTTATGTATGTTTATGTATACATAAATGTCAGTGTTCATAAGAGACTATCCAGTGCATGTCTGTATATTCTTCATGCATGCTTTGTTAGACAGAACAATTAATTATAAATGTATGTAGCTTGTCAGATGAATAATGAAACCTTGAAGTTATATATTAAGTAATATTATTTACAATATTCAATTAAATGTCAGTGTTCATAAGAGACTATCCAGTGCATAGCTGTATATTCTTCATGAATGCTTTGTTAGAGAGAATAATTAATTATAAATGTATGTAGCTTGTCAGATGAGTAATAATCTGACTCAGAAACCTTGAAGGTACATATTATATTATTTACAATATTCAATTAAATGTCAGTGTTCATAAGAGACTATCCAGTGCATGACTGTATATTCTTCATGTATGCTTTGTTAGAGAGAACAATTAATTATAAATGAATGTAGCTTGTCTGATGAATAATGAAACCTTGAAGTTATATATTAAGTAATATTATTAACAATATTCAATTTGCAGGAAGATGGTACATGTAACAAATTCTTCATTGAAAAACAGCAGGATCGACCGATAACCGAATGTACGTTCATCGTGCAGTTGCAATGCCAGCTTTGATGGGATTGGTATGATAATGGAAGCATAGATTAACACACGGTGAAGGTCAAACGACCCTCATTCTCGCACACCCGAGCAACCCTTCCGGCAACCAACCCCTTGTGACGTAAGTTTAACCCTTACGGAGGTCGTTCGTGTTTTTGTCGCTAATCATATGCGGCCATTTAATTGATTTATCTTTTACAGATTTAATAACCAGTGACACACTCATGATAAACTAACGACAATAAACTAGCAACAAACTTATACTAGAGATAATTATGGCAACTAAGCTGCAATTTTTTATGGAAGAAGAATCTTCTTTACAGAAGAAGGTGCTTTATTAAGCAGCCAAGGAAGCATTCAATGCGGAAATTGAAACGAATATACGTCAGGATGTCTTTATAATAAGTTTCACCGAAGGCAGCATCGTTATCACAGATTTATAGCCTTGTAATATTCTGGCCCTAATTACCGTCTGTGAGAAAAAAGATAGTCATTGGTATAATGAATATCCCACATAAATCATGGCGTCACCAGCGAAATCGCTCACGTGCTAGCCTTTTAACGAGCCTCGTGAATTCCGTTCAAGGTCGCCTGGCTTCTTTATTGCAACTATCTGGAAGGCCTTTCGCCTCGTTACTTTACACGTGAAATTGGTGCGATTGTGTCACAGTAACAACAAAGTGACCTAGAGTTTAATAATTCTCTTACAAAATGGACCTGAAGAGGAAAATCAGAATTTTTTGGACGTTACAGATATTCTACAGATTCTGAGTTACATTTTTTAATTGTCAATTTCTGTGAAGCTTGTAATCAGAGTGTTCCCATCAAACTGATCAAACGTCTCAAGACCACCTGCTCACGAAGGTGTGTCTAATAATAAATAACCCTCTAAAAATAATCCTTACCTCGACGTCAACGGAATAATATCGAGAGATTAGATCGACGATTCTCGCGGTAATTACTAGGGTTTGTTGGACAAAATTAAGGTTCATAACTGCTCTAGCGAGCATTGCGTGTTCCTGTTCACTAAACCGGTAGCTATGAATCTGATAGATCATGTTCAGATACTCTCTTTCAAAGAACAATAATTTCAAATTGATCCGTAACATAAACTTTCATATTTCAGAGCAGCATAATTCGCATTAACGAGGAAAAAAGAGGATGAAGAGGAACTCCATTCAGAGTACGTTTGCATTGCAATTTATCAAACTGTCCCTGTAAATTACGATGCAATTGCTCGCACGTGTAACTGAATGCATATCTTGGTTGCTAGGCCAAGGTCACGGTGCAACAATCTTCCACTTGGAGGTATGCAGTACCGATCGAATGAAGGTGTAACGAAAGTACGCGTGGGTGCACCCTCCCTGGGTTCACCATGGGTGCTACAACCCTTAACCTTTTCACGCATTTACTCGGTCGTCACCCTCTGTTTATTCAACGTACTACACTCTGTTACATATTCTTTTTATACCCGGAAACATCTTGTCACAGTTGCATTTAACGTTTGTACATCTCAACGTTTTGTACATATTATAAAGTTTTGTTTATATCAGGTTTATTTAATTATTTTCTTTTTTAGGTGCTAGTTCTCAAGATGATGAAATTACTAGAATGTGAATGTCATAAGAAAAATACCAAGAGGCTGTCAAGAACACTTCAACCTTCAAATATTCTCATGTTATATTCCTGAAGAATTTACATTTGTAACATTCTGAAGTGTAATTGACAAACAATGCTTGATAGTAGCCTTTGAAAATTTTCCACTACATCAGAATACATAATAATGTATGAGTTGAAATAATCATTTAAGGATTGGAGAGTTTACGCCACCCTATAAATTGGAATAGCGATACAAAGGGGTGAATATCCTTCTTGACCATTTACCTTGATGATAAGAGAACGTAGACGGTCGAAAGGTCGCTTCCCTCTAACTCTTCACCTTTGGAAACAGGTCATCGACTAAGTATTTGATCGTAATTCGAAACAAGTTCATCAGCCTTGAAAGATGTCATGAAACAATGACACCCGAATTTAAAGCAAAAACTGTATATTCACAATTTCCATATGCCATTTGATGCATGCAATTGGTACGATAATTGGCCAGTGATAAGGCCCTATGATAAGCTGTTTACGTCGCGAACGTTAATTCGGCCTGGTCGATTAACACGAAACATTTTTTCTTTCCTTCTTTTATCAACGATCTCACGTGGCACATAAGCTTGATTTTTTGCGACGATCGCTGGGCTTATTATTAGTTTCGTGCTCGGGTAAGACACGAATATAAAAACTTGAATTTGTGGAATCAGTCTTTTAGGTTAATATTAATGAGGTTTTATTTTGCAGAAGAGGACTCAGAATACAATGATTTGAAAACCATTAAGAAATGCATAATTCAAACTTAATTTAACTCAGCCATTTTGTGACATGATTAGGAAATGGTTGTACACATATACACATACTAAAAATGTTAAATATTAAAAGACAAATATTAATGATATTTTATTTTGCAGAAGAGTGCTCAGAATGTCAATACAATAATTGAAAAACCATTAGAAAATGCATAATTCAAACTTAATTTAACTCAGCCATTTTGTGACATGATTAGGAAATGGTTGTACACATATACACATACTAAAAATGTTAAATATTAAAAGACAAATATTAATGATATTTTATTTTGCAGAAGAGTGCTCAGAATGTCAATACAATAATTGAAAAACCATTAGAAAATGCATAATTCAAACTTAATTTAACTCAGCCATTTTGTGACATGATTAGGAAATGGTTGTACACATATACACATACTAAAAATGTTAAATATTAAAAGACAAATATTAATGATATTTTATTTTGCAGAAGAGTGCTCAGAATGTCAATACAATAATTGAAAAACCATTAGAAAATGCATAATTCAAACTTAATTTAACTCAGCCATTTTGTGACATGATTAGGAAATGGTTGTACACATATACACATACTAAAAATGTTAAATATTAAAAGACAAATATTAATGATATTTTATTTTGCAGAAGAGTGCTCAGAATGTCAATACAATAATTGAAAAACCATTAGAAAATGCATAATTCAAACTTAATTTAACTCAGCCATTTTGTGACATGATTAGGAAATGGTTGTACACATATACACATACTAAAAATGTTAAATATTAAAAGACAAATATTAATGATATTTTATTTTGCAGAAGAGTGCTCAGAATGTCAATACAATAATTTACAGACCATTAGGAAATGCATACTTCAAACCTAATTTACCTGAGCCATTTTGTAACATTGGGAAATGTACATACACATACTAAAAATGTACACATGTACAACCTTCTACAGGTAATGCATTACAATGTAAAGCAGCCCCTAGAAAAGTTAATGAAGTGTATAAGTAATCAGAGATTCGCTGAATGATCACTTATCAAGCTCCCCCAGTAGTATTGTGCGAGTTTTATTAATTCCGAAGCCACGTGACTCGATAAACCCAGTATTTCATTGAAAATCAGTGTTAACGAAGGTACTTATGCATGCAAGAAGTTTGAAATCGTAATTGACATATATTACAGGAGGTGCGTGACGAGGGAGAGTGCCACGCAAGGTGTAACACAGGGTAGTTGTCCTGCGAGGGTTCTGCGACAAGCGTGCCACGGGTTAAAAGGCAACGAGTAACACAGAGACGGGGATGCCGCAGTGATTTACATATCGTCGATCGGTACACGTCATCCAACTACGTGGTATACGCACCAGAAACGATCGTGGCACGACCGTTTTCTCGAAACGACGGCTAATCGACCTACCGAAATTCATTTCGTTTCGAATACGTCTCATGCATATTCAGCCCGACAACCGGGGCGATAAATGAACAGACCTACGGATCGCAATGCGAACACGAATCTGCGAATCGCGATAAAACGGGGAAAGAAAGTAGGTGAATGTATTGTTCAACATTACACGTGAAATGTACGACGTTTCACCTCAATTTTTCTTCCGATTAAGGAAGCACCGAGACCCGGTGTTTTGGAACATATTTAATTTTCTGAAGCTATAATTAAATCACCTACTTTATCGCCCCAGTGACATTCTTTTCTAATAAGACATGCTCTAAGGCTATAACTTATGCACGTAATACTTTCTACATTTAGTTCCGTTATTACCATTTCTTTTGCAGGCGAGGATATTAAATCCAGATGCCGTAGATATACCAGTGCTGAAATGATGTATACTCGTAATTCAGAGAGCACGAAACATGTTTCACAGATCCAATCACAATAATACTAATGCATAATACGTACAATCGCAAATGCGTGCTAAACCGTAACGGTGGAATTGAAAAGAATTGAAACTCTTCCATTGGAATATTGTGGTAACAACCAGTAATTGTTAAGCAATTTAATATCAGTAGGATCAACGTACTGTCAATTAAACTCGATTACCGACAGACACGCACTCTTTCGAGCAACAACGTTAGCCAGAAAAAGATATCGAAAAAATTTACGAGCAGACTTGTTTATCGGTGCAAATATTTTTCGTCCACCACCTTACGTGCAATTAATCTGCAACCGGGCATGCAACATGGTCACCGGTCAAAAAACTGATAAGAACGGGACAAAATTTTAAGGTGAACCTTGTCAGATTAAAACTAAGTAACCTGTAATATCCTTGGAACACGTACAATCGGTAATGAAGGATCATTTAAAGATAAAGACTATAGATGACAGAAAATATAACCTCTTCGCATAGACATGAAGTATTGAGATGAGTGTAAAGCAAAATATACCTATGTATACTGAATTATTATCAAACTGAATTATTATTATTTATTATCAAACGTAACTGGCTTTTTTTCTTGCTTTTTAGGGGACTTTGGAATTTCGTGACGCATCTAGGGCAGATACAAAACTCTGTCTCCTTCGTGACTCCGGTGGCTGACACGAATTTCAAGTTGACCAGCGATTAGTTCTTTCTAGACCGCGTTATCCTCTTATGAATTTACGTGGCGACCGGGTGAAATGTTCTGAAAGAAAGGAGGACTCGTTATCGCCGGCTTACACCGCGATATGAAAATGAAGAACGAGCATGTAACGTGCGTGACGGATCGTCCTGTGAAATGTGTCGCGCCGATTACAAAAGAAACAATCGTGGCTATTCACGCGGCAGACCTCAATGGCTAATTTGTTCACGTCGTGAAACGATAAAGAAATGTCACAAAATATTGGGAATATTATTTTGCTGAAAAGGTGCACAATATGTTTAAAGAGCGTTTATCACGCTGACCTTTTTCTTATCGAGTTTTAAAGTGTAGAAAACTTGAAGGGTTCTCGTAGTTTTTGTAATCCATAAAAATATATAAAGATCACCGTGATAAGTTTCGCTAAATATTTAACTCGTTTTTCTTGTGTAGGTGATCGGGTAAAGAAACCTGATGCGTCATTTCGGCAATTTATGACCCGTTTGCTGCAATCAGAACAATCCTACAGCGGGAATAATTAATGACATGTTGAATTCTAAATTTAAATTTGATGATACACTGTTCATTGAGAAGGTCATGTTTCAAGCTGAGCAGAAAAAGCTGACATGAAGCGAGCGATCAAATTCGCGGAGACATCAATGCCCGACTTGTCATCGACCTGTGTCACTGTTGCGCGTAGTACACGCGTTTCTTTTGACGTGATCTAAATCAGGTAACCTCAATAAGCAAAATGCGACTGAAACAAAGAAGTTAACCTTGAAATTGAGGAACGTTATAAAATGAAATCTTGATGGAGGTTATGTTGATCATTACTTTGTTAACACCCTGTACATTAGCAGGAGGTTTGCAGTAGTAATAAACTGTTACTTCCGGCCGCAGTAGTAACGCCGTTGCGAGGGACGGTCAGAGCATAATTGATTGCGTCAACTCACAACCGTCTGTAATCGATGCTGTATCTCTTCTCCTCGCTTCCGTTACAATTACTTTTTCATTATCTCGTAAACAAAAACACGTTGCATCAACACGCAAGATAACCTTGTGTCTCTTTAATGTTACAGGGATCCGTCGACGATGATGAACGTCTTGAATTTCGTCGTGGAGTTTCTACAGAAGGAATAGAAACGGTTTGTGAATCGTCCGTATGGAGAAGTTCGTGTTTATTGATCCCTTGCGGGCTGACCAACGGTCAATGAGATACGGTCTCTCCCTTGGTAGCCGCCCTACGCCTCGGAGGCCCTGCATCGGTCTCCTTAGCGGAACCGACCCACCGCCCACCCTACAACACGTGATTCATATCTTCGAGTCGTGGAAAATTAGCGACAAAAATGATTTCGGAGAATCTGGATTGGGTTATTTCGTACTGACTCAACTTTGAATTTATAATTACTCTTGATTTCAAGTGAAATGTTATAGCTTCACATGCTAGATTGTTAGAATTGTATGAGAAAATATTCTAGTTAAAATACTCAAGGCAACATGTCCTTATAAAGAGGCTACAAGTATAAAGTACAACCATAATATTTCAGCAGCAAGTAGTCATTAAATGGTGTTAAATTGTTGCATATAAAATGACTCATATAATAACATAAAATGTGAAGGTACGCTTTTGATGTCACATGAAATTCTGTTATAGCTTGACATGCTAAGATTGTCAGAACTGTAATATATGAGAAAATATTCTAGTTAAAATACTCAAGGCAACATGTCCTTATAAAGAGGCTACAAGTATAAAGTACAACCATAGTATTTCAGCAGCAAGTAGTCATTAAATTGTACTAGATTGTTGCATATGAGATGACTCATATAATAATATAAAATGTAAAGGTACACTTTTGATTTCATGTAAAAAGCTGTTATAGCTTGACATGCTAAGATTGTCAGAACTGTAATATATGAGAAAATAATCTAGTTAAAATATTCAAGGCAACATGTCCTTATAAGGAGGCTACAAGTATAAAGTACAACCATAGTATTTCAGCAGCAAGTAGTCATTAAATGGTGTTAGATTGTTGCATATGAAATGACTCATAATAATATAAAGTGCAACGTAAGTATCACACAATCTTATCATTTATTAAAAAAGAGTATGGTTATATTTGAAATAACATGCTAGTAATAATAAAGCAAAATTCATAACATTTTGCAATCTTTTCAGACGACAAAGACAAGTTTCCTCCGAGGGACAAAGAAATGTAGGTAGGCCGTAAATAGGTGAAGAAACAGCACAATCAGAGGCCACTTAATGACACAGTGTTTATCGCGATGGTAGAAATGGATTGATCGTTACTATGAAGGAGGTGAAAGTATGTGGACGGCTGGAACGTATGCAGGATAATAAGACGGTTGTTAAGTAAAATAGGATAGTGTACCATTTCCCAGCAGGACTGGATCAGGTAGGAGAAGAAGAATCGAAAACAGGGAGAAAGGAAGCGATCGCTGCGCAACCGCAGACTCAGTTGTCCAGCCCTTTTCACCCCTCTTACAGACCAACCCTATGGCAATACTTGCTCCCACTTTTCGCATCCCTACCACCAAACCGCAGATTCACCTATATGAGTCGATCTTCCGTGCCACGTGGCTTTGGTAAACAATGCTGGAATCACCTGATACTGGCAACTGCAGGGGTGACAATCTTATTCCCAATAAATTAATGGAATGAAAAATTGTGATGATGTTTCATTAACTCATTTAATTTTAGAAGAAGTTTTCATGAAGTTATCAATACAGGAAGAACTTCGCTACTCTAATTCTTAAGGATTCTGAATACATATCTACCCTTGAGGGACACAAACTATACTCAGCATACAGGGTATTTGAAGCAGTCTATCTTTAATTACATGTCTAATTTGTAGTATGTAAATAAGCCATATATTAATATTGTTTACATCGTTTCAGATATGAAGGAATCACGATTTCATAATCCAGCGTAATCGACACGTAAAGTCTATATAGAACAATAGGTGTATAAGCTTTGGCCACTTTACCGGATTAACGGTTGACCCGGCACGAGAGCCGATCGAAATAACGTATCGTACGTACATAAAGCCAGGCAGAAACGACGACGATATACGTTTAACGAGCGGCTTGGTCACACCTTAAAACCTAGAAATCAGGTTGGGCGTGGGCCACCGTGCTATGACGCAACGCAGGTGAAACCAATCCTTCCTATCAGCACTTTCATAAAAATAATGAATATCCTGTGGCCTTACGGTTGAATCGGCCTGAAAGGTTTCGCCGGTTAATTGGCCCATTTTTCACTGAATCCTCCATTGGCCTTACTTTTGATTCACGATACCAAAACCTGTCGTAGGCGATTTATCGCCTTCTTTCTTTAGATCTTGTCACCTGAGTTCGACAATCACGCTATGCCATGATGCATTGCTTCTAAAAATGTCGACATGAAGAAAAATATTGGTTAGAGATTTTCTGAACGTTCAGTACTTTCTGATGGATTCAACAAGTCTCTCTATTCAATCTTTACAATATTGTATTCAATCTTTATAATTAATAGTAGCATCTTTGGAAGGTTGGGTAATCTACTTCTTGAGGATTTGAATACTCTTTTTGGAAATACCATTGACTAGCTAGATCTTATGGTGTAAGTCCTAGCTAGCTCATCTAATTCTTGAAGACCCTCCTGACAATGAGTACTCTACCTCTTAGAGATGTTATCATTGAATTAATAAACTCAGGTAAAGATTGTTCATAAAGTACAAGCATATTTATCAGAAAAGCAATGTAATAATCGTTCTTTTTAGGTAATCAGGCAGATTGGCGTTGCGTGCGGCCTGCTTAAATGTTGATCTGGGCCAGATACACAAACGTCGTCGACGGCAAATATACGCAGTTTTCTTATAAATTGCCATATCGCAAGGCTGTTAAACTGTGTACGTGTAGTTAGTACGCGTGGCAATGTTCGGGCACGCATTTGTGGGAGTCCGTTGTTTTACGTCCACCGGTGGCTCATGAATATTAAGAGTGTATACAGCCGACTTCTCGGTTTAATTATACGAACGATTAGAGGCAACAGCTACCAAGAGAATATTTACTTTTCGCCATACAAGTCCTTGCACGTGCTGAATTATCGCACTCGTAATGAGATTGGTTCTCTCGCTCCCGGTGGAGGGGTTGCGTTACCCGAACCGAGATTCGATCTACACACACACGCGATCTTGTGTCTCAAGAGCCTTATTTCTTCTTCGTGCAATGTATCAGATCGAACGACCCACTTTTCCACAGCGATTAAGACCCTTTTTTTATTCCAAGCGATCTTAAAGGGGCGTATACTTTACAATGCGATCGAAATGTTGTATTTCTCGTGGCTTCCGTCACTGACAGGTAACGAGTCTTTGTTCTATAATCAAACACTTACCTTGAACGTTTTGTAGCTGGATACCACGTACGAGGCACCGTCTTCCAGTTCGTCAAGAGTGATCTTCCTGTCGCCGTCCATCGAGAAGATGTGTCGTGCTCCTCTGGGCAGGTCCATTCGAAGAGACAATCTGTCCAGAAGTGCCTCCAGGGAGCCGATGTCCCTCCCCGGCTTAAACCTGCAAATCGACAGTCGTCACAAATCATTAGGAAACTTAGGTATCACTCTCTATGTTCAAACACAAATGGTACGCGTTCCAGTACTAGTATCTTTCGTGTGTCACAGGGAGGATCTCATTCATAGGCCAAAATCAAGGCCACGGAAGGTGGACACGCCACCTGCATCCGAAGAGGGTACTAGCGTTAAGCGCCACTCGACGTTCGGACAACGAGGGATGAAACGACGAAAGAAACGTACCTGAACTCGATTCCTGGGAAATACGGGTCGCCATTTTTGTAGAATGTCACTCTTCTGGCCCTCCAGTATCCGAGGTTGTTGTATCTCGCGGGCGCCGGCTCGTGTCGGCTCTTAGGCCTGTGCTCCGGCTGCTCCGGAGGCGGCATGCGGGGACT